GTCTGTTGCATCCTGCATTGCAATATACATCTCCAGCGAGGGAGAGAACCCAGGCATGACGCTGGAACACCAAGCCACCCCAAGAGCAGTGACCATTTAAGAAACAATTCCCACTATTAGTGGCTGTTGAATTCGTCCAAAACAGCTCTTGAAAAATGGCTTCACCTGTGTTTGTAACGGACGTTTGGTAAAGGGTTGCATGTTAATAACTGTATAAAATACCGACAAGCTGATGTTTCAGATACATGAGCAACAGTTGGGTGTATCTTAATTATCAAAGCGATACATGTACGACTAATGCGACATTTTATTGCTACGTTTCGCTCTCCCAGAGCCATTCAATTCCTCTAAAATTCTGTCTTAAAGATTAAATTCTACTTACAGTTTAGTTGTTCCTGTTTATGTCCTTATGTGTCCTGTTTGTGTCGTGGTCGTTCCTGTTTATGTACCTTCATAATCTAGTAGTTCCTGTTTGTCCTTAAGTGTCCTGTTTGTGTATTTGTATAATTTGTCGCTCCTGTTTCTCCTTATAATCAAGTCGTTTCTGTTTCTCTCCTTATAATTCTTAATTTCATTATTTGGGAGAGTGCTAAATCCGTATGGGCCATGCACAAAGGGACTGTAGGGCAATCAGGTGCGTTTCTGTTTACCTAATAGTAAAACATCCTTAGCCGGACTTGAGTCCTGGAGGTGGGTATTACAGAGCCTGCACTCTAAAGGAAGGGTTTGGGATATTTGCTCTTTAGAGTAACATCTAAACTGTCGTATCTGCATGCCTCTGGCAAGACAGTGATAGTGTGAATGATGGTGAAAGTATTTATTTTTCAGGTCACCCTACCTTGGTGGGAGACGGCCAGCGTCTGGCAGTAACAATAACATTAAAATGGTATAAAATACCGACAGGTTGTTAGGTAAGACACATATGCAACAGTTAGGTATCTTTATTTCGAAACGTTTCGCCTACACAGTAGGCTTCTTCAGTCGAGTACAGAAAAGTTGATAGAAGCAGAGGATACGTTGTCTGGAACAATCCAGACAACGGAACAATGCTCTTCTCCAGACTGAGGGACTGACCACCTCAAAACTTTAAGGGTGATGGACTGATTACATCGTCTTCAAGTATCCTCTGCTTCTATCAACTTTTCTGTACTCGACTGAAGAAGCCTACTGTGTAGGCGAAACGTTTCGAAATAAAGATACCTAACTGTTGCATATGTGTCTTACCTAACAATCTGTCGGTATTTTATACCATTTTAATGTTCGACTGAAGAAGCCTACTGTGTAGGCGAAACGTTTCGAAATAAAGATACCTAACTGTTGCATATGTCTTACCTAACAACAAATACAGATCTATTTCCTTCACTGTTTACAATATTTTGATGGTCCTTACATGTCTTTGAATTAGACGCAAGTGCAACACTTACGTTTCATTATTGCTAATAAAGATACCTAAGTGTTGCACATACGTCTTGTATACTGTAAATACGACATATGTGCCTCATTCCCTCATCACAGCTGAGTAATAAAACACTCGCCCATGGAATAGGTAAAGTCAATGTTTCTTCACCAAAATTGGCTGTGAGTTAAAAAATAAACAAAAGCTGTAGAGTGAATTGTAAACACTTTTATTAGTAAATGAGTATGTGGTGTGTAAATACAGGACCATTGATGGGATGTTGTGTTTACATAGAGCTGAACTCTTCTCCAGGGTGAGGGACTGACCACCTCAGATACTATTTCTCCAAGGTTAGGTAAAAGGACAGAAGTGCATCTAATGCGACATTTTATTGTTTCGCTCTCCAGGAGCTTTAAAGTCGTTACCGGCTTGACAGAGTTTTGGAGAGCGAAACGTTGCCACAAAATGTCACATTACTTGCACTTGTGTGTTTTACCTAACAATGTCGTCAGTAATTTTACCAACATTACAATTTCTCCAAGGTTGATGGACTGATTATATCTTTATTTTACTGCTACACTTCCTAAAATGAATGTGACCTGACCTGACTAGGTTGGGGCATTGGCTTAACCCGATAGGAGACTTAGACCTGCCTCGCATGGGCCAGTAGGCCTGTTGCAGTGTTCCTTCTTTCTTATGTTCTTATGAAATTAAGACACATGTGCAACATCTGGGTATCTTTATTGTAGACGTTTCGCCATCCAGTGGCTTTATCAATACAAATTCTAGGACATAATTTGAAGACAGTAGAACTATGTACAGAAGATGGGGTAATCAGTCCCTCAGCCTTGGAGTTCGTGCGAAGAGCACCGTAGTGATAGAGATTCTGAAGCAGAAGCAAGGAGCCTTACTAACGTCAGGTGGAAAGGGGACGTGTAGCAGACGAGGGCATAGTCACTGGTAGGCGGGATTCCCCCAGTGACTATGGGAATGGTATTTTACACCATTCTTGTACAATTTGACTGAAGACGCCTACTGTGTAGGCGAAACGTATTACCAATAAAAATACCCAACTGCTGCACACGTCTTGAACATAAACGCTAA